TGAAAAATAATTACTCAAGTAAAGTACAGATACCCAAAAATTCTACTTAAGTACAGTATTTGTACTTACAACTATGATCATGGTGCGTGTGTGCAGTGTGAACATAAATAGCAAAAGCACTAAATTCCACCAATAACAGAAAGATTTTCACAAAAACAAAAAAAGAATATAATTTTTTTTAAATTTTTCATTATAATTTTTGCATAGTGACTGTTTGAGGCTTACTTTCTACTCTGTGTTTCTGCCCGTCTCTACGATCGCTGTCAGGGAGTGAAAGACAGCTCATTATTATTAAATTAATTTTTTAATTAAATCATGTTTTAAATGACTTCAGAGTTCAACAGAAGCATGTTTCTGGCTCTCACTGCTTTGGACGTGTTGTCTCTCAGTAACATATTTTTATCAGATTGCCTCACTCTCCTGTCACAGTTTTACTCTTCTGGTCAGACGTTTGACCTTTTAACCCCCCACCAGGTAATGAGTTACACGTCAGGCTTTAAGCCCAGGTTAATAGATGAGTAGATGTGTTGCTGTGTGAACCTGGATGTCACTGATTCGTACGGGTGATGAGATAATCAGAAATATCTCTGCCCCCCCATCATGACCCACTGCTCTGCTGCTTCACAGAGGCCTCATTGTGTCCCTGGCAAAGCTGGTAGCTTCAGGGGGTTGGGGGGGCTGGCAGCGAGTCACAGGCTGTGCTGTCAAGAAGGGAGTCATTCTTCGTGGCTGTCCGTGACGTGGGTGTGGGGGGGTTACGACCAGGCTGTCACCACGAGCGAGGACCCTTCCCAGCAGCATGGAGGGAGGCGCAGCTGGTGGCGACTGCGCTGCATATCTCTGTGTTCCTTCTGCTCCTGCAGCCGGGCCTTATCTGTGTGACTCCTGTTTCTCTCYGTTCTCCTGTGTTACACTTTACCCTGTCCAACTGCATCTGCTCGTCTGCTCACTTTAACACAGTTTTGACTGTCAAAGGTCTGAACGCTCAGGCTTGTTCAGGAGTAGTGAGCTGGTTCTTCTGCTTTGGTTTTTTTTTTTTTTTTTTT